AAGGAGTTAGCGAACTTTAGGATAAGCAAATATTTAAATAATGTGATGTGCAAGAAGATTTAGTGTCGTTTTCTGGCCTTAAACTCCGTAATACTCTGTACAACTATGAGACACCTAAATTGCTGGTAATACTTGGTAGTTCTCTGTGCTTTGGTCTTTAGAAACTAAGGTTGGACTGGCTAGCACAGTGTTTTCAAAGGTTTTCTAGTAAAGGGTCCTGGGTTTGTCGCAGAGTCAAGATGGACAATGTGCATTAAGTTTAGCAGATAAACTTTGCAAACATTTTTAGTAATTTTACGTATTTATTTGTGGAGAGTATTGTGAAAATCATTGTTACACTTTTAGCAGCACTTTACACAGGTAAATCATTTTACATTTTTACACTTTACATGTGGAGTACTGCCCAGCTAACTTATTTTTGGCATCAGTGTATTTGCTCAGAACTGGTTCTGTAGCAAACGCTCGGCTTCTGACCACTGACGTATCTAGATTAAACTGAGTAGACTTTGGCACTTTGTGAAAGCTGCCAGCTGCGTGTAACAGCAGAGCCTACCTTGGGAAGGGTACCTGGCAGGAGAAACTGTACCAAACATAGTGCAGAGGTGCCTGGTTGGCACATTTCAGATTGAGAGGGTAGTAACAAAGTGTCATTTAAAGGCAAGTAATCAATATCAGTAAGTAAATTGTTAATAATTAAATTTCAGTTTTGTACTTAACTTCTTTATCTCATATTCATTTTTTTTTTTTTTTTTTTTTTATTTTCTGTCTCTGGCTGCTTATTCCCTCACAGTCTTCCATTTCTTTCCAATGCTGACAGTAATTAACGGTGTAATTGTTACTCAACCCAACTGCCGCAATTGCATTTTTTTTGGCTTCCTTCTCCTGTTTGTTATTCTTCCTCATCCTTATTTCCCAAATGATTTTTCTTTCTTACATGGTTTCTGTTTCGGAGTCTTTGTAGATCTGTTTTCCACAGAGAAATTAATTTTCTCCTTCGTGTTATGGCATAGGGTGAGCTATTTTATATTTGACGTTTTGTTCTTTCAAGTTCATTCCTTCAGTTGCTGCGGTAACTGTTCTTTTTGTGCTTTTCAGTTACACTTTTCTCTATATTTTTCCATTATGCCAAGAACTACCTCCTAACTAAAAGTATCTCCCAAAACAAAAGATAGTGAGTTTCAATTCAGGACCTTCAAATCTGGTTTGGTTTATGTTGTTATGCATCTTTCTTGGCAAAACATTACATTGGTCAATCTGTGCCTTTAGTGAGTGGGCCTGAGGAGTTAAGTTCCTTATTTTTAAAATGAGTACTTTTTTTCTGGCTTTCTGTTTTGTTGTTGGGTTCTTTACCCATCTACACAGTCTGGCAAAGTCTCAGTTTCTGGGAAAGATGAAAAGGGGTTGTGGAATGAGGAAAAAACCCTTCAGGTGAAGGAGGACCCTCTTTTCCTTAAAGATGCAAAAAGCCCCAAAGAACAATGTTAATACTTTGGCGCTCGTCTTTGATGCTCTGTATTTGGAGGTGTGAAGGCTGGAGTTACAGCAAAATTTGCTCAGAATGATCGCATCAGTGACTGAAAAAATCCTTCCTTTAGTAACAGCATTTTAATAGAGAAGGGAAGCATCTTTGACAGCCTCTCTTAAGCTTCTTGGGTTGGTCCTGTTATGGTACTGTTGTGCTGCTTGTTAGTAGCAGTTGTGCATGTTTCCGAATGACTTAATTGTTCGCCTGTGCTATTTTCTTATTGTTACAAATTGGCTATTGTATTATTTTCTGGTTGCTTTTTGAATATTGAAACACTTTTCTTCCTACCTCATACACCAAACCTTTTTTTTGTAATCTTGACACCTTAAAATGAGTGATTAAAGATGCTATTAACAATCGGCAAATCTCAATGACATCGGGAAGTGCCTAGCATAATATTTTTAACAGCTTCAGAAAATGAAAAACATCTTTTTTTGAACTTCTAGTATAAAATCTAAAATATTAGCATTATTGTGCTGCCTGTTTAAAAGTGTAATGATCAGAGTGATAATGTTGGGGTATGACTTATGCTCTGGTAGTTGTCTCCTGAAGATTATTCTGTGTTGCTAAGTAACATGATTTGGTATTTCATTTTAAAACGTATGGTGTGTAATGCGTAATTGATTTAACATTTGCAAATTTTTTTTTCGGTTTTAGTCAATTGAAGAAAATGAAGTTTATCTGCCTAATGATGAGCTCTGGATCTATGAGATGGACAGTGGGTTGTGGTAAGTTGTGTAATTTATATTTAATTAATACGTAAAGTTGATCTTTGCATAGATTGCAATTGGCTGCAGTGAAAAGACTTCAGTTACATGAGTTATTGGTCGTGTTCCCTGGAGTTTGAATAGCAGATGTTTAGTGTAAGGACTGAAGGACAGACATATGTACTTGCAAGTTAACTGTAGGAAACCCGTTAATTCCTTAAGTATAGTTGTTTTTTTCAAGAGGATGTTTCAAATGGTTGGCTCAAGGCTCTGTTGTTAAAATAGGTGCATTTCGTTTGGGCATTTATTTTGGCTTAGTTCTCCATACATTAGCTTTTATGCCAAAATGAATATTTAAACACTGGATAATAGGATTCTTGATCTATTTACAATTACTTATTTTTTCTTAATTGTGTTCTGAGTGCATTTGCGTCAATAACTTGTAACTAACCAGATCTTGCACATTGCTAGCAATTTAATATTTACATTTTATATTCATTGTGTTTACATATCATATATGGGGAGAGATAACAATACCTCTTTTTAAAGTTTTCCAGTGGTTTCTATTACAATAATTGCATTCAAGCCAGTAAAGTAGTATCTATTTGGTCTTGTATGTGTTTTCTGCCAGCTCTCTTTCTAGTCTCCCATGTGTTTACAGAATTTCTTGCATGCCCATATTCAGAAGATTCTTTGCATACCTGTATTCAAAGCAACAAATTGAAATGGAGGGAAAAGGGGAGGAGAGCTGAATCAGGAAGGTGCCTTACAGTATATGTGAAAGTCCACACTTGCGTGGTCAGGTCACTGACTTTGAAAACAACAGTTTGTGTATGGTTAGCTGTGAAGTTCTAGCAAGTCTCTTTATTTCAAAGATTGTACGTTCACTGAGACTGTGGTTTGCTGTCTGTTTCTTTTGGAGAAAGGGCTGGCTAAAGCAACCTTGTACTCTCTCGTTTTTCACCCCGATGTCCCCGTATCGGTTGTACTGGTACAGCTGTTTGTATGGTCACACAGGAAATTGGATCAGGAAAGTGATCTGGGTTAAATATAACTTTTCTTTTTCCAGGGTTATTTTTAGCCTGGATCTGTTCTTCATCTCATTCAGTTTACAGCACAGACAGTTGTACACGTACAGCTGAGTGCGCCGCATGACACAGGAACAAGCAGGACTGGGGGGAGAGAAGGGGGAGGTGGGCTGGCCGGTGGCAGTGCTGGTGCCAGAGCAAAGGTCTTTGGGAGCGGTGCCCATGGCAGCTGCTAGCGAGTGCTGTTTTCCATAGGGACAGGTTGCACACGCATCATTCACATCTGGGGATTTCGTGCATAAAAAGCTTTTCCTTTTCATGGCTGCCTCCAGTTCTTTCAGGTTGGGGTAAGGTCAAGCATCAGAACTCAAAGCTGTAAGAATTCTTATCTTCTGTGTAGCCACCAGTGATAAAAGATTGAAGGCATCTAGCTGCAATGTATCGAGGAAGGGAATAAGTGGAATTGACTGGGTCAACAAGTGTGGTGATACTAGACCTAGCAGAGAGAAGAAAAAGCAGAATCAGGCTTTGAAGGTGGGAGACTGTGACTGAGGGGGGAGGCTGGGCCAAGGACGCGGTTGGAAGGGACGAAGCCAAGTCAGGTGGAGAGCTGAGAAAAATGAACGGGAGCGGCAGGGGAAGGAAGCTTCAACCAGAAACCGGAGCGTCAAAGCAAATGAGGTGTTGGCAGCAAAGCTGCGGCAAGGAGCTGGAGTGCCAGCATGGGCAGACTGGGATTTGGCTGCCAAATCTATAGTGAAGGTGTGGTGACCAGGTGGAGATCCTAAAGAAATCACGTCCTCAGTGTGTGTATGTGTGAGAGGGAAATGCAGGTCCCTATCTTCTGCAGAAATCGGAGATCCTAGCAAAGCTGTTCTCGGTGTGGAGCAGTGATTCTTGGCCTAATGCTCAGCCTCCTGTGAGTTCAGCAGAAATTGAGTTTCGCCAGGTCGTTGTGTAGTGCTTGAGATTGTGTGACGATAGAATTTGTATCGCAGGAAGTTACTGGTTTGTAAGTGAGACTAGCAAGGAAAAGGCTAGGAACTGCTGCTGCTGCAGAACAGAGAGCTCATTGCTAGATTTGGCATTACTGAAGATTTTTTGTTATGTTAAATACAGTGTAAAGTGTAGTTTTGGGAGTGGCGTATTGGGTACCAAAATTAGTGAGTACTTCTGACCTTTATTTCTACTTCTGCCTCAGTTTTCCATTTGTAAAATAACACCACCACCACCGTGTTTTCATTTCAGGAGTTTTTGGAGTTAATAGTTTTTCCAGGTTTTGAATAATTAATGTTTCAGCTCTACTAATGCTTTTGTCCGTGTGGGCTTCACCTTCAGAAGAATTGAGATGCTTCATAAACGTATGCACAATATTCACATGGAAGTCCTCTTACACTGCGGGAGTCTGACCTCATATATCAGCTATAGTTTATAGCCCTAGTTACAGCCAGAACGTTGCAACTGTATTTTTAGGTTTAAATATAAAAATTATTAATACATCTGGTTTAGGTTTGCTAATTTTAGCAAGTTTGAAAGCAGCATTAGAAGACTTAATGTATGTGCTAAATTGCAGGACAATGCACCTAATGGAAGGAGAGCTACCTACCTCCATGTCGGGGAGCTGTGGGGCAAGCATTAATGGGAAGCTGTACATTTTTGGTGGATTTGATGATAAAGGATACAGTAATCGGGTATTGTATGCTTTTCTTTCATAACATATTGAATTTGAATGGATTATAATGCTGACCTTACTGTTTTGTCTGGTGTACTTTGAGTTAAGGAGAAATTTAAGGAAAAGCTTTATTTTTGTAGAAAAAGTATACTTTTAAACTGACAAAAATCTTTAGTTTCTGTTTGAAGGTTCAACTGCGTATATTTTTCTGGGATCTTTCACTGAATCGTAGCTTCAGAATGAGACCCATTACGTGAAACTTTCTGTATTGATTTCTGAAAACTGCCTGTGTTTTCCCAGTTGCCTTTTTTTTTATAAAAAAAAAAAAAGATGTTGATAGCCATAATTGAAACTGATCTCAGAATATCATGTTTATTTTTGCTCTTTGATAGTGATTACCTTGCTTATATAATCAGGTAATAATTAAAGTTAAAATATAGCTACCAGTTCTCCTTGTAACTAAAGGCTGGAGTAGCAAATAGATTGAAATGAGCTGCTTTATCACCGAGTGTAAATGAAGTCAGAATTCAGTCCTGAGTAGAAAATAAGTGAAGTTGAGCATCTAATCAGATCTCAGTTTAGTACTCGGTTCACATGCCGTGTTGGTTTTTATGCAGTTACCTAGTTAGGTTAGGCTGAACTAGTGATGGTTCTGCCAGTAGAACTGAACTGAGAGTTGTTTGTCGTGCAGAAGGTTTTTGCAAGGCTGCCGCTGACTCTGGGAGGAGCAGGATGTTACTGTTCTGTTCTGGCTGAGAGAAGGCAAGGAAACGGGCTGCTAATGCTCGCTGCTGTTGTACTCTGGTTGTGTGTCAGAATCTTCCTATATCTTGCTACATATTGTAAACTTCAGTTCCTGTTTTGTATTTTTTTAAAGGAAGTAGTGTATTCTGGGGGTGGTGGGCTGTGCATTTTGCTGGTGGTTTGTGCTGGATTCTTCGACATCATTTATACTGAAAATGTTGTAATTTTTTTCTTTTAAGCTATATTATGTTAATTTGCGAACAAAAAATGGAACCTATAGGTGGAAAAAAATTACAAATTTTAAAGGTCAACCTCCTACACCACGTGACAAGCTTTCCTGCTGGGTGTATAAGGACAGGTAACACATTAAGAATATTTAATATGTGTTAATTGCAGAGAGGAAGTACTGTAAAGTGAAGAGAACACAGGTTTGGGATTCATGAAACTCTAATTCTTAGCTTGACTTGCTGTGGGATTTTGTGTAACTCTCCTAACAACTTTCTACCAGAGTTGTCTCACATGTGAGCTGAATTAATGGTAAGTATAAATCCACTTTAGGAGAGAGTTGGGAAATTTAGTGGAAGTTTCTGGAATGCTTTGAGACTTTAGATAAAAATCATTATGCATCTATTACTTGTGGTTTTCATTTTAACACATATTAAAAACCGGTATAAAAATTACCTTGATTTTCTGTTGGATTACGTAAGCATTAAATTATTACCTGCAATAAATATATTTAGTACATTTTCAAGGATTTCAACAGCATACAGATATTGACAATTGCAAAGACACTTCAGTGAGTATCTTTATAAGAACCAAGTCAACCTAGGTATTTGTGTTGTAAAAGTTACTGAGTCTATTTCGAAAAAATACTTAGCTAAAAATAAATATAGTACTTCAGATTTTGTGTTTATTGTGGAGAGTGTCTGGATATTGTGGTGTATCTGGTCACAAGAAAGCGAGATGACAGTGATTTGTTATAGGAGTTATTGTAAAGAAGAATATGATATACAGTGAACAGTGTAAAATGAAAATGATTTCTCTGTAAAGAGGTTTTGCATGAACTGTATAATGCCTCTCCACTGTATCTTGGGTTTGTAATTCTAATTTAACTGCAAGGTATATGAAATTACATATATTTGAACAACTTCTCCATAGCTGTTAATACAAGATTATTCAGAACTAAATTAATCTATTCAGGGTATCAAGTAATATGCATACTGAGAAAATTGCATATTTTAGGTGGCAAATACTTAACAAAAGTATTTTGGATAAGCTATGCACCTTTTCAGAAGTATACCTCAGAATTTCACAAGCTGTGAGTTTGCAGATCAAGATGTCTTGGTGTATTGCGCAATGCTTTCAGTAACTCTGTTTCCCTAGGAATGTCAGTCTGGAATGACCTTCACCATCCCATCATTTCCTAAATTGCCTTCTCCCAAGATCACTAACAACTATACCAAATATCCTCAAATGTTGAAGTTAAACAAAACTTTAGGAACCATTACTTATGGATGGCCATTTCATGGGTGGAATATTGGGCTGGGAGGTGTGTAACAATACTTGCAATGCAATGTGTTCAGTAGTGCTAGTTGAAAGAATCTCTTCATGAGCTAGAGAAAGACTTTGTGGGTCAGGCAGTCTGTGGGCTGAACCTTCGGAACGTTGGTTGTGAAAAGATGTACGCAGTAGGCTAACAAATACAGCAGGAGCATAGGAGTTTCAATAGAAAAGGGTAGGAATTCTAGCAGAAGCACAGGCATTTCGCTGTCTTGTGTGTTACGTGTCATTCGGAGACTCGCCTCTGAAAATGCGACCGTGATAAATAAGCTTGTGGATGGAGGAACAGAGAATAGGGACTATGAGGTATCTTGAGCCTCCTGCCTCGCTTGTGTGGATTTCTGTCAGGCTTCTTGGGGAGTGTAACTATTACCTTCCTCTCGGTAAGGTTTGCTGTGTAATTAGGTACAATATGAAATATTTTGTTTGTATTATTAGTAGTACAGTAGGTAAACCAAAATTTGAAATTAATTATTACAGCTTATTCATTTGAATGCTGCTTACAAAACAGCTAACTGAATTGATTTGTTGTTGTGGTTCTTCTAGGCTAATATATTTTGGTGGCTATGGCTGTAGGAAGCATAATGAGCTGAGTGATTGTTTTGATGTCCATGATGCATTTTGGGTAAGAGATTTGTCGCAATTCAGAGTGATCTGTCCTTTCTAATTGTCAAAATGTGATCTTTTATACTATACTCAGTAAGTATGAAAATCTGTCTGATTTTTCTTTTATTTGCAGCATCAGCAGAAATGAAAATTAGAATCTTCTGCTTAGCGTTGAAATTTCAGATATTGCATGTTAGGAGCGGTGGGTGTTCAGTGTGTTCCGAGTACCCGGTGCTAGGCTTTGAGTGCAGTGGAACAAAATGCTGCCAAAGCAGGAGCAAAGGCAGTGTGTTAAATCCAAAGACGTGTTTTAAATATGAAACTCCCAGAAAATTTCAGGATTTCTTTCCTTGAAGTAATGGGAGGGAATTTATAGCTTCACAAGTCTGACAAATACTTTCAGTTAATTTCTTTATTTTGTTATCCAGAGTAAATGCCATTGCTTTAAGATGCTTGGATTAGCTAGTTTCCTGTAATGATTTCTTATGGCTAATAGAAAGGAGGAGACTGATTATTTAGTGACAGGAGTTAATAAGAAATAGATATGCATTCAAGGGAGTATAGATCCTTTCATCAAATGTTAAATATTGACTTACAGAAATGTATTACTTTGTACAATCTATTTATTTCTTGGTATGTTACATGAAAAATTAGAAGGTCGAATTTGTCTGCTGCAGTGACCGATGTTGGAGCTCAAAGCCCATTTTCCAAAGTGTCATTAGCCTTAACATTCCTGAATGCTGTTGACCTTGAACTAGACCTGAGCTGCTGCATCATTATTAAAAATATTAGTGTATGTTTTTTTTAAATAAAATTCTGTATTTCAGTTTATTTTCTGTTTCGATAGATTGCTTCTGGGTTTGTATCCTTTAATAAGGATGAAGATTTTAAAGTAGAATAAAATATTTTAAATTTTTTAACTTCTTTTTCAGGAAGGACAGATATTCTGGGGATGGCATAATGATGTCCATGTTTTTGATACCACCACACAAACTTGGTCTCAGCCAGCAATTAGAGTGAGTGTTTTTTAGTCTTTTGACACAATTGTGATTTTACTGCATTTTGAATAGTTATTGTGCTGTAGAAATTGATGTTGGGAAAAGTAATTTGAATATGCTTAGGTTTATAACGTTAAACAGGAGGACACTCAGTGTATCTGAAATGTGGAAAATTCAGAACTGGTAAGAATTTTTTTTTTCCCCACAGGATGTTATTAGACTGGTGTTTTTTCTACAGTGCAGTTCTGATGCAAAAAATACCATAAGCTTCAGAGAGGTATTAGAAATCTGGATACATTAGAAGATGATAACAGTATTCTGTATCTAGGGTATAGGTTTTAGATAAAGCTTTGTATCCAAGCTTGAAGACAACTGTTGGGAATATAGAATTACTGTCAGCATTCCGCTACTGGAAGGACAAGGCACTGGAATACTCCAGAGAACCGTTTAGTAGGAATAGCAGAGTGGGGCTGAGGAACGAGGCGTGGAGGTGTTTCAGCGGCTCCTCCCAGAGTAAGCTTGGGTCCTGCGGAAATGGATTATGGCAATTATACCAGCTTTGGGTGTCCTTGTAGGCGTTGCCTGGGGTTGGGTCTGGAAGAGTTTTGTGGCAGGAGCACAGCCATTAACCCAGGCCAGCTCTGTGTTCATCCTGTCTCACACCTAACAAAGGCCTTCTGGAACAAAGCGAAAGTCTGTGGGGAGCACGTGGTAGAAACACATTTTAATGGTTTTAATGGTGCCAAAATGAGGTTAACAAACCCCGTTTATCTGAACTGTTTTGATATGAAGCCGTTTGGATGACTGTATGTGCATATAATTAATCTGCAGCATGGATAACCTATCTCACAGGTAACTGAGAGCTGACCGTAGGAGAGATTACGGTCTGCCTGGAGAGGTGTTCCTTCCACCCCCGCCCCTTTTCACAAAGCTGATGGGTCAGTGTGGAGGATAATGCATTGGGGTGAAAGAACAAGACCGGTCTTGAAGTCCAGTCTCTCTTGATTCACTGTTCAGCTGTCAGAAACTTAAAGCAGGCAAGGGGAGATAGCAAACTCACTGTATTGCTAATTCAGGCCTTCAGTTTTTCTCTGAAGATACATGTTTAGTATGCGAGGGTTATGTGCTTGTTATTTTGAGCGTTGTGTGCATGGAGTTGCTGCATTCCTTGCAAGAGTTAAAGTTGAAAAATCTTCTGAACGAATATCTCCCAGTCATGCTATATTGTTAGAATAAACAGATCGGATATTCTTCAGCAAATACATTATTTTAAAAGTCTTCCAAAGGAGCATGTATACTACTCACTTTCCTAGTAAAATAGTAATGTGCATGTTTCTGTGTATTGAAGTGAATATGATAGTGTACTATAAAGGTTCATAAAATCCTGGTGAGCTTACGTGAGGACTCGGTAGTAGAAGGATGCTGTAATGAGTGTCTGACTCTATTTTATGGTCTTTATAGGATGTTCTAAAATTCCTATAAAAATAAATGCAAAAATAGAAATTACCATTGGAGAGGAAAAGCCAATTTTGCAGTCTTTATTTCTGATTTACACAGGGAAGACTTTTTGGCATGTGGCTACTGGATGTAACATCAAATTTTAAGATCTGATTTCCAGAGATTTTTAGTGCCAGTTCCTGATGGCGTGCACTTCGGGAGAATAAAGCTGCACAGGAGATACCAACAATAACTGATGTGCTATTGTAATTTTATGCTTAGGAATTAAAGATAAATTCATTTAATTTCACTTATGTAAAGCAATGATAAATCAGACCCAAGAGGGAACATATTAAACATTAGCAACTGAGGGAACTCAGTACTTGGCAAAAAAGCTGTCCTTGGCAATTAGGTATATCTTCTAATATCTGTGGAGTCTTGGACATGAGTGCAAATGATTTGCTTTTAAAGATGCAGTTCTGCCAGCATATTGATGTGTGTTGGCCTTACCTTTTCGGTTTCTCTGTTACTGACTTGCTGCTATTTGTGTCTGGCACTTTGATGTTCTGAAGGATCTTATTTTGGTTCTTTCAGGGTGGAGATCCACCTCAGCCTCGAGCAGCTCACACATGTGCTGTGCTGGGAAATAAAGGTTACATCTTTGGAGGACGAGTGCTGGTTAGTGTTTAATTAAACCATTTTATTTGCAGTAATATTATTTTCTTGACTGTTAGGGTTTTTTTTTTATAGCAAATCACTTTGTAGTAGAAAAAAAATCCAAAATGTCTTTGGCCTAACCTGTGTGTTAGGGGCATTGAATCCAGGATGCTTCTTTTCATCCCCCTCTACCTTACAAAAGAAGAGTCTGTCTTTCTGTCTGTAGTATTAATGATGAAGCATACGTTGTCCCAACAAGGGGAAAAAACAGATGACTCTATGGTAAATGCAAATGTTTATAACTCAACAAAAATGGTTGATGGATGCGTAACCTCTATAGGAGATGGTGGTTTGAGAGTGGAGCAAAAGCAAGCCCGATGATAGACCAGGTTTTCAATAAATTATGAGATGCTAGCATTCTGTGCTTGCTACAGCTTAGCAGATTAATACATCAAACCTGCTGGCTTTTTTTTCCTCATTTCACTTAATGAAATGCTAGTGAGTCGTAAATATAACTGGATCTCAGCCACCCCCTACTAAAGAAAGAGGAAATGTGTAAGACCAGTCCATTACTCACAAACACATCTCTCTCACCCTGATGTTTTGCCTGCTGGGAAAGTGAAGTTCAGAATAGCTGTTGGGATACAGGATTTTATATTTACAACTGTAACATGTGGTTCTGAAAGGTAGGAAAGATCGGGTTTCAGTTGGCTTTATAATTTAAACTTTTGGGTTTTGCACGTAAGTGGCTGAAGTACTGCTGTCTGGAAGGGCAGCATGTGATTGTAACGTCTGGATACAAAGCTATTAGTCTGCGTACATTCGAACTGGTAGAGGATGCTGCAGCATGTTACTGATAGCACAGGCTACGGCAGGCACAGGTCATTCCAACCCTGTAAAGTCTCTCCTCTGCTCTCTGAATGTCAATTTTGCAGTCTCAGTCTTTCCCTTTAGCATGCTCTGTGCCCTTGGTACAGAATATGTGCAGCATACCGTAGAGATTGCTGCGAACAACTTTATTCTGTGGATCCAGCGTAAGTTCTTTACCACAGGAGTAGTACTTGTATTTGCTTTCTTCATAGTTGATCCAAGACTGTACCATTTAATACACTGTGGGAGGATCTTAAATGTGTTGTCCCTAGGTAAGAGTCAAAGGCAGCATTAAGAGCAATTAAGTGCAATCAGTGCATAGTTAATCAAGGCTAGATTCTTCCTATATAATCTTAACTCTTCCTAGCTCTTTTTAACTTAAAAAAAAAAAATAAAATCGCAGGAGTCATCCCCCTGGTTGTCTGTACCTAACAAACTTGAAGCCACCCTTGGTGAGCAAGGAGATACTAAAACCTCTCAGCAACACACTTAATTTTTCTAGTACTAGGCAGAGGAGATTTTCTCTTCAGTTCTCTGCTGAAGCATTAATGTAAGAATTTAAGCCTGAGGCAGCAATGCAATACAAAAAAACATACTCCTGTCTTATGTCTGAAAATAAGGATGGTAGCAACTAGTCTTAAATAATGCAGGCTCCCCTATCGTTTGTAAATTTTTTTGCAAGGAAAATTTTATCTTTATGGGCTGGAAAGTGTACCAACTCTTTTTAGAACTGTTGCAAAAGCATAGGAAAGAGAAGATTTTTAAAGTCGCTGTATAAGCTGGAGTTTATCAGGAACATGAGAAACAGATGCTGTAAGGCAAGTAAAAGAGCCTCCTAGTTTAAGTTTCTGTGTACTCTTCCATATTTTTTTTTAAATTTGTTTTCAGCTCCTTTTACCTACAGCTAATTTAGAGCCTTTAATCATATTCAGCTAAAGGGTGAGACTTGATGCTTTCTGTCTCTACTACTATGAAAAGTAACAGCAAAGAAGCTTTAGAAAGCCCTCAGTGCTGTGTTTCTATAGTTTTGTTATATGAAAGAGGAGGAATGAACTGTTGGTTGGAAATGCCCTACGGTGAACATATGCCAACTTCATCTTGGAAAGCTGCCATAACCTAAACCCTGTATTCTCAAGTACTTGCAAGTAAAACAGTGTAAAATTGCACTTTGTTCCCTGTGCCCTATTTTTCACGCTGTAAAAGCTGTACTCGAATGCAGTGTTCTTCTCAGGGAAAGTCTACAGTTCTGTTACAAAATGGCTTACTCCTGCTTGCTCCGACAGAAACCAGACATACAGATCAAGGCAGGCTCAGAATGGTCACACAGTGTCCAGCCAGTCTTTCCATTTGAATTGCCTCCCACAGCTGCAGGAAAAGTTCACCCAAGTACCATTTCAGAACAATCAGAAAAGAAAGTAACCACAATTGATCCTGTTTGCTGTTACCATTATGCGTTATGTGGCCTTTCATACAGGCTCCTGATCTCTGGAGTTGTTGCTAACGCCTCAGCTCTGGCAGTGAGAACTGCACACGGTAGCTTCCAGAGCTCTAGGTTTGGGGAAACTTGATTTCCAAATAGCTAAGGAAAGAAAGGGCTATTACAAGAGACTGAAAAAGTATCCAGGCGTACTTGAGTCTTGTACATCAGGGTTAGCCATGCCAGGCTAAGTGAGCCCTGTGCCTCTGCTGTGGGCTTGCTCTTTGGTGTCTGCTGTATCAATGAGCTCTTGCTGACCACAGCTGGACTGAATCCTGCTCCTCATTTAGCAAGCCTGCAGACGTGAGAGGGAAAGAAACCTAGATGCGAAGAAGTAAACACGCAGCCTGGCCTACTGCTTATTTCTGAACACTTCCTCAGCCTTCAAAGCCTTGCTCCCTCTGGCTTTCTGTTAGCAAGGGCTGTCTCTGCGTGGTGCAGAGGTCTTCACTCCAGAAACAGAACAGCATAGAGTGTTGTGTCAGGCTAGTTAGGGTTGCTGCACTGTGCCTGTTGCAACTGAACTGCTTTGTAACTCAAGCTAGGATTCTCATGCAGCCTCTGCAAGTGAAATTATTGGTAAACTGGAGCTCACCTGTTACTTCTCCACTGTGCTGTTGCATGATTAGATGTGCCCTAAGAGGACATGCCCCCTGGCTTCTATTTAGCTCTGACCATTTCACTACAGAATTCAGAAGTACAAGAAGGCTCTGATCGGAAAAGGTTTTTCTCTTCCTCAGGTAGCATCAGCTGCCTTAGAAACCATTTGCTAAATTTCAGTGAAACCGCTTTGGAACAATGTCAGAGAAGAGTGAAATTTTGGACAGCCGTATTTAATTTTGTAGGAGAGCAGCAAGTGTAGTTTTCACCTTAGTGATACTCTGTTACTGATTGACTTTCCATTCTGGAATGGAAGGAGACTGACAAAGGTTAGGGAACATTCAGTGGGGCTTGAGGAATTAATGTAAATCATGAAACAGGAAGGGAAAGCTAAAGACATCAGAAAAACACTACATTTCCTGACACCAAGAGTAACTCCTCCCCAAAGGATGAAGTCTTGCTTTTCTCCATAAATTAAGGAGCAAATACGGGGTTGCTCTGCTCCTCCTTCTCCTTCTAGTTCACCATAATACAAATCTTCCCAGGGAAAAGGCTCTACAAGGAACCAGAAAGGGCCAGGAAGTGTCATGAGGCTTCTCCTATTCATCTTTCTGGGAGGAAAGGGCACCTTTTTCCAAACTTGGAGCTAGAACTGGTAAAAGAAGATGATGATGATGATCAAAATCAATTGTACCAGGAATCATTTGAAAACAGGCTCAGAAGTATTATGTGGACTCTGTTCCTCCAGGTAAGCCCCTGAAAAAAAAACAGAAATGGGAGAAAGTGGGAAGGAAGGAGAGTTATTCCAAAAATTGATGCAAGTCTCATGTTTGATTTAGGTGGAAAGTTTTCATGTAAAGAATGATGAAGTAATAAAACAAAGTCTTTCCAGCAGCTCTTCGTGCATCCGATGCCTTAATGTATGCATGTTTATATTTCCTGTTATCTTTTCTGTCACTGAAGATCAGAAGATACACTGAACTGCACTCCTTCTCGTACAAAGATTTGAGCTGTATTAGCTGTTTGATTGTAAATCTCAGAATGGAGAGCTGCACAGAGTTTACTGTAACAGCAGTGAGCTGTAAATATGTCGCTCTTAATGCCTTTCATCATGCTAGAAAGCTAATCCCGAGACACAGCAGATCCTGGTTAATGTTTTACTGGGCTGCAAACACATGAACATGCCATAGGATGTCTGAGGAGTCCTTGTAGCTCAAAGGGAAGTGCAGACCCTCTTATGAGACTTGATGCTTGATGCTTTTAAGCCAGTTAAGAATCATTTTAGGATTATCAGCTAAATGATTAAATATAGTAGGCAGCATTTAGAAATACATGAGAAACTGCAAGAAAACTTTGCATAGTGACAGTACTATAACCTGACTGCGTGCTTTACAGTTTCCCAAATAAGGGTCGGGTAGAAAGGCATTTTCATTTGTTAAAACTATGTTGAAGGGCTGGATCTTAGACATGAATGTCCAACTGATGCTGTGTGTTGAATTCAAAATGAGGTTGATGTAATTATGCATCTGTCAATCTGTTGAATCATGAGAATGTAAAGATTTAATACATTGATTTCCCAGGGACCAAGAAACTGAAAACTACTCCATCTTCTGCCTAATGCCTAGGAAAGGAAAGTCAGCGAGGAGGTCTTGGACAGAATCTTCTTGAAACCTTAATTTCCAACAGAACAGCAACTTTCTTTCTTCCCTTTCTTTAATAGATGTCCTCCGTATCGAACTGTGTTATTCCAAGATGATTAAATATTTTTAGTTGTAGAGGCCAGGATGTTGCTTTTCCCCCACCCTACCCCCAAGTGTCTAGCTGTGTACAGGTACAGCAGAAGATACTCAGTAACTGCATTTTGCTTTCTGCTTGTATAATTTGTTCCGCATCTCCTTCAAAGCCATCTGAAGGAGCAGGAAACTGAATAGACTTGTCATGGAAGACAGATCTGTTCCACTAGCTGTCAGTTGGACCACGCTTTATTGTTATATTCACCCTCTTGCAGGGATAAAGTTTCTCAGGCAATGCATAAAAGCCTTCACATTCGGCTTTTCTTTAGCCTGTTGGCCTCTCTGAAGGCGTTCCAAAATGCTAGTTAACATTCTCTTCCCTAGGGCAGAAAAGGGCTAGCACGTACTTAATCAGAGGAGGCCATAGCTATCCTGAAAACCTTGCTGTTTCCTGAAATACCCTGAGAGACTTTCCATAGCTCTGATGGACAGCTTTGGAAGTCTCTCAAACTCACTAACTGGCTAAGTTCTCAGGGGTAAAACTACTCCTGTTCCGACTTAAATGGCAAGTCTAGTTTCTGCCTCAAAGGATCTGCAAGCTGGAGAAAGGCTTATTCTAATAGATCTATGGACTACCCTAGGAGAAAAGAAATTGTAAGGTAAGGCAAGATATATTTCCCTACTTCTCAGATATTGTTTTGCAGTGCCTAGGGGAATCACAAACGTCAGTCAAGTGTATTGCGAGCCTCTGACAATATTGCTGCAATCTAAAGCAAAGAAATTCTGTCTTATGTTCTCCCCCCGCCCTTTATGTTTCTAAGGCAATTACTTTCTTCATCTCAAAACACAGGCAGATATGCAAGTGTATTGGTTTCCCATTGTTCTTATTGATACATTTTACTATTTTTATGATAAATGCTAAAGGGTCATAAAACCTCTTTCTTGCTAGTAGTAACTTTGTGAACCTTGCAGAAATGAGAGAAAAACACAGATGTGATGAACCTTTTTAAGGGATGTCATGTACTGAGTACAGTACCTACTAGAATATTTCAAGGAATAGTGATCAGGCAGGAGGATGCATAGTTCTGATCAGAATGCAAAGAAAAATGAGAGGAAAGTGTACGTAGAGTATTATACCTTCTGCAATTACCTGCCATGAATTCTGTGGATGAAAAGTGAATATGTTTGCAGGAACTGACTGTCACACAGTTCTTCACTATTAAACTACTATTAAAAGCTAAAATTGGCCCCATACTGCCATTGCATTACTGTAAATATTCCTGACAGTTAGTTTTCTGAGAGTTGCATGGGTTTTTTGAGAGGAAATGCTTTTCATCTACCATGTAACAACAGGGGCGGTTTAAGGCACATGGGTATAGTTTTCTTCAAAATATTGTTACTTGGAATATTCTGTCCTGGGAAGGCCTCACTGAAATACTTTGCTCATTGTTTGCTCAATATAACACAACTGGGATTTTGTTTATTTGTTTTAGCAAACTAGAATGAATGATTTGCACTGCCTGAATTTAGACACTTGGACTTGGTCTGGAAGGTAGGTTTCTCTCTGTAACACTTAAAGTTGAACGCAGCAGATTGCAACATATTGTTAAATAGTTCTAGGGCTAATTTTGTAGCTTTTCCAAGAGGAGGATGGGGGTTTGGGGACTATTTTAACAGCTGTTATATTGTGATTTCAATTTAATTTAATTTGATAGTAGTTACTAAACTTTTTGTGTTCTGCACCAAAGCATTGATGATGCTATTTTAAGCACAGCATGTAGTGATTTAACATCGTAATTTTCAAGATGGGTACATTTATCCATATGGAATTTAGGTTTTATGTCCCCTTTAATACTGTTTTTACTATGTAGATTTGGCTCATTATGGTACAGATGGAGGAAAGGTCTCCCCCGCCCTTCCAAAATAAGCATCTTAACCATTTTTTAAAAATCAAGTAAAAACATGACCTAAATATTTCCATTTTAAACTAAATTGGGTATTAGTATACTCCTAAGGTTTGTTTGCTTGCACATAGCATTTATGATAGTGCCTGCTACATGTGTAGAATCGGTGGGTATATTGTTAGCTGGTAGACAAACCAGGAGATAAACAGTAGCTGATGGGTGATAACCACTGTTCTGTTCGTGTTCTCAAGGTAACCTAATAGTAATTTCACAAAAGACCACGAAATACACCTTTCCTGAGTATATGTCAGTGCTGATCCTGCTCCAGGGCTTTACGTGCTTCGTGCACCTGTGATGGGCACCTTTAACCACCGGTGACTGCTGATCCGGTCCTGCACCAAAGGGTGTTCCTCTGCCCTCTCAGACGAGAGCCAAGCGGGGGAGTAGACACAATCCTCCATCCATTCCTTCTGGCTGCTGATGGCAGCAGGACAAAGCAGTTCCACAGTGCCCTTTGAAAATAAAAAAAAAAAAAACTTCTCTCTGAAGATTTCTTTAATTAGCACGTATAATTAACATCAGTTTAATTCCCCTTTTTCTTTGCTAGTTGTTTTAAAATTAACAATGTTCTACCTAAATTGTCCCTCTTAGACTGTGAACTGTACTTCTGAGTGGATTGATTATTCAGATTATTGCTTTAGCTGCTTACTACTTCTTGTTGTTGTGCATGAGCAGTTGCTGTTTGGCTTGCTTTTCATTGCTTTAAAAAAGGAAACCTGTGACAGTTGATCAAAAAGTCAATGAGAGGAATTTCAGGCCCTGCAGGAGGACTGTCAATGTCAAAGTTCTGTCTAAGTCCTCATCAGCCAGTGTTCCCTTTTGTTTGGCATCTGAAAACTGATACTGAAGTTTTTAAAAAGTGCTTTCTGTTCTTGATCTGATTACAACAGGCTGATTTTTCCATACGTACACACTAAGACTAAGGATGGTAATACTAAATTCAGCCATTCTTAAAAACTGAAGATTGTTCCAATACTCAACTACTCCTGTATTGTGATCCAAGAATAGCTCACAAGACTTACCCATGATTTAGTACAGATTGATCATTATAAACTTAGGAGCCTACTATCCAGCCATTCTATAGCACCTCTGCAAAGGGTCTTTGAGAGACTTAAAGAAATTTGAGAGACTAAAAAAAGAGATTTAAGAGGCTAGGGAAAAAAAGAGTCTTTGCAGAGCATCTGCTGCTGTGGTGGCACCTCACAGGAGGTAAAGCGTTCATATCTATTCATATCTAGAGGGGTAACTAATCAAAAGCTGGTCTTACAGGAAGCTTCACAGGCCTGAGTGCTCTTCTTCCCTTACTAAAGTGATTGATTTTAGGGAAACCTGAGAAATATAACTCAGACTGTCACAGCAGAATTTAGATTAGGAAAGCGGGGGGGGGGGGGGGAGGGAAGGCAGGCAGGCTACTTTCCTAGGGCTAGGTGGTGTTTTCTCCAAATATTTTATTTGTGACTATTAATTACCTACTGTGGTAAAATCATCTCATTACTGGGCCACCTGTCAGCATGCACAAACATACAATACCTCTTGGCGTGATTTCAGCTCCTAATTACAAGAGGAGCAAAAATCAGTGTGTATCTTTCAGAACAATAGCAAATTAGTGTTTACATTTTGATTCTAGTTTACAGTCTGTCTTTGCACAGATTGTTTGGAAAATTATTTCTGGCTGCATGCTTCCTTTCATAAAATCAGTAGTGGTGGCTGTATTAGAAACTGGGCATTTGTAGGGATCATCTCCAATATGAAGACCTTTGTCCCCAAAGGCCCCTGATTCCACACACACACACACTGTAAAATAAGACACAGGAGATAAACAGGCCGTTGGGTTTTTTCTCTCCTTTTCTTTTTTTTTTTTTGTCTGAAATTTATATAGCAAATAAATGCTTGCTGGGGCCAATAAAGTTACGTATTAAGAGTGTGAAGTAAAGAAAATCACTCTATCCGTTGAGTGCCAGCAGTAGTTTTGAATAGCTCTAATCAGACAATCCATTTTCAGCTGAAAACTGCCTCTAAAAAGCCCTAGTGACATTCCAGTATTTTACAGGTGACTTGTTTACTGTCAGTGTGAATATTTTCTCCTCCAGTTGTTTACTGCAAGGAACCTTTCCTTTCTTATGCTGTTGCTTCAAATTCCTTTCTACTGAGATTTCTGATCTGATAATGAATTAAAAATTGGGCAGGATACAACCTGTCTGATCTTGATAACAGAATTATCTCAGCCATTCTGCAGCTGCAGAGAGATTATCTTTGATTGCCATGTGAATTATCACCAAACAAGACTCAAGGATTTAATACAGATTAAAAAGTTTGGCTGTGTGAATGCTGCTGACTGACAAGTTGCCTGCAGGTGTTTGAAGTTTCTCTGTGAAGTACAGATGTCACAGCAAGGAGGGACTCGGTTTGTACAGTCCTACATTCAAATTCACTTACTGGGCACCCTCTCCTAAAAGAAAAATTCCAAATGCAATGATGCATTGCCTTCCCTGAGCTCCACTGACCTGGTACTCAAAATGTTCAATATTTTGTTATTTCTGTTACTGTGATAACTTTTAATTTCTATTTTTATTAGTAACATGAAAGATTGAAACATTATCACCCATCTGTATCTGGTATATATTTTTCTAAACATCAAAGCCTGTTGTATCTCAGCACAGTCTGCCTCTTTTGCCAATTTTAGAAGCATCTTATACAAGAGTTATGCAAAGCAGGCACTCAAACATTGTGACTTGGCTTCAACTTCAGTGCCAAATTTAGTAGAACAGTTTTGCAATCACTGTTTAATTAGCTATGATTCTTCAGTCTTTGCTTCCAGATGGAGAGCTGCTTCGCAGTCCGCAGCAGTGAAATTCCGCTAACTGAACTGCAGATTCGTTGCTCACCCCAGGCTTCCTCTGTGCTCAGTTAAGAGAAATAGGCACTTCTTGGGCACGAGACAACTGCTGCTAAGGCAGACATCTAAAATAAATCATGAGTTGTGCTTTTCAAGGACCTGTTTCTCTTGATTGATTATAAAGGAAATATAGATGACTCTGCGCTGTTCATATTGTAGACTGAGCACACATCTGTGTATATTACACTCACCTCACTTTAGCAAAGTGGATGTGGGGGGAAAAAAAAAGTAGCTGGTTCTTTGAGATATAGTCTACCTAGGCTGAACATCCCTTTCTTACCCGCTCTGGACAGTCTCCGACTATGATTCTGACTCTGTGAGAGAGCTTACAGGTGTTTGCACGTGCTGCTTCCATCATTTTTCGGAAGCGAGGACATGCTGAGTGTGCAGTGGCCTCAATTCTTTGTGTCTAACTTTAGGTACTTTACAACAGAAGTTGCCTCTCTGCTTAGCATCAAGATACTAGGTGGGCTGATGCCCTCTGGAGGTCCTTGCTCTTCTCTGCTGACTGTTGGGATCCTCCTGAGACGACTGTACCCTTAAGTGCTTAAACTAAGAGCGTTCAGGCCACCCACCACATGTAATCTCTTACGTCCAGGTTCTTTACTGTTCAGATTCTCATCTCAAGCACACCCAACTGTGCAGCTAAAATGAAATCGGTATCAAATCTGTATTTTTGTACCGTGACCAGATGTTTAGAATAACAAACCTACATCTGTTTTGTACTTCAGAATTCCACTTTTTACTAAAATTTATCTCAAGGTTTGGGTGACCCACCATTGTGTTTAAAAGGCACAGTGGTTGAAGCGGTGGTAGCTTTGGGATAAAAGATAAAGCCATAATCCTTGTATCATTTAAGATCATTTTTGTAGGAGTAGAGAGACTGTAGCCCCTCAGGATTCAATAAATTTGATCTCGGATAACTGAGTCCTGTTTACCTACAGGTACTGTGCAGTTTGTTTGCATATATAGTCCTTTCTTTGCTGTCTTAAGTGCCTTCAGGTGTACATTAAGTAGTGGCTTTAGTGATCTTAAGACGACAAACAAAAGAACAATCAATGCATTTGCCCTTACATTTGATCTTTACATAACTGATTGTTCAGAGAACAGTCACTACAAGAAATTACTTTGTTTATATTTGAA